TGAAACTTTTGTTGGGCCTTCAAGGATGTGTATAATATTAACTGGTGGAGGAAAAGAGGGAGAGTATTTTAGGAAGCAAGAATAGCATTGGCAAAGGCATAGTGTCAAAAATTGCAAGGGCAATTAATATGTTACTAAGAGTGGAGAAGGCTCAAGTACAGGTAGGTGACAAATGGATTTGACCAAGAAAAAGTCTGAAAAATTAGAGGGTGATTGTTGGTGGCTGGAGTCCCAGGTGTGCTGCAGAAAGGGGAAGGAAACAAGTATTTATTCAGTACCTACTATGTGCTAGGCACTGTGCTAAGTGCTTTACAAATACTATCTCATTCAATTTTCACAACAACCCTGAGAGGTAGGTTTTATTATGATACTGTTTTATAGTTGAGAAATTTGAGGCAGGCAGAGGTTAAATGACTTTCCCAGGGTCATGAAGCTAGTAAGTGGGTAAGGCTGGATTTGAACCCAGTTATTCCTGATTCCAGGCCCAGTAGTCTTATATACTATGTCACTAAGCTGCCTCTTGAGGGTTTTTCTCCAGGTAACACACGGGTGTGAAAACTATCAGTTCTTTTGGTTGGATTTATTTTCAATTTTTCACCTGTTTGCAGATGGGAATTTAGTGCCATCTCTCCTGTGGGTAGTAATACTGGGCCAGGTCTCCTTTAATGCCTTGGGGGATCCACCTCTACTTTTCTAAGGTTACTTGAGTGGGCACCAAGAAATCCCCTCAGCCAATCCCAGAAACCTGAAATTCCATTATTAGAGGAGACAGTTCCTTTGAGCTGAAGCTTTGCTCCTTATGAAAATGTTAAATACCTCAAGAGATTTTGATTATAATTAATATTAACATTATTATTATATAATTATAATTAATATTAATAATTTGATTGATCTTAATCATTTATACCTCAGTGTACATGAATTTATGGGATCTCTACTAGAAATTTAGTTATGAAAGCAAAGGAGGAATTACCATTTACTGTATGCCAGACGCTGTGTCTTAATACAGTGTCAAGTTGTTGCTTTAGTTAGATTTACAGAGGTGATAATTGGAGTGGGGGGAGACCCAGAAGATCTCTTCCAATGAAAAGATCATAGTTTTAGAGCTGGAAGGGACCTTAGAGGGTAAGTTAAGCCCAATTCCCCAATTTTACATGTGATAAAACTAAGATCCAGAGAAGGTAAATCACTTGCCCAAGGTAACTTGCTCAAGGTAGCAGGTAGCAGTGCCAAGACTTGAACCTAGGCCCTCTGCCCCTACAGCAGTGTTCTCTCTGCTGCCCCTCACTCCCTCCCAAAGAGAAGCTTTTTCTTACTCCATAATTTTGCCTAGTATAGATAAAATTTTAGATCTGAAAGGGACCTTGGAGATGGGTCATCTAGTCAGGCTGCTTTGTTTTAGATATGTGGAAATAAGCCCAAGGAAGGACTGCTCAGAGTCATATAGCTATTTGATAGCAGAAATGGGAATAAGATTCTTGTCTCTTTTGACATTCATTCTACTTCTCTTCTTCAGGTGGTTAATAAACAGAGCTCCAAGATCTCAAGGGCTCCAGCAGCAGTGGATTGCAAGACACTGGCTTGAGAGATGTTTTTAGCTTTCTCAAGGAACTCCTACTGAATTATAAAGTTGGGGACATAGAGTTTCTGCATTTCACATAAGTTACTCCTCAGATGTTATTTAGAAAATATGTGGTGGGTAAAGAAATTGGGTCAGTCAGTGTACACCAGAGCAAGATTGCACCAGTACCTGCGGGATGTTAAGAGAAGAAAAGGAAGGCCTTTAGCACCTTGGTTAGATTCTCTGCCAAGGATCAGGCACAAATACCAGGCAGCATGAGAAGGGCTGGGTTGTTTTCAAGCTCTAATGAAGTAAGGATGTTCTGAAGGATGGGAGTACTGAGGAGGAGAGCTCACTCTAAATGGATCAGGTTCATATGCAACATAACCTCCAGGTTTCAAATGAAAGGGGAAAGTACTGAGCTGTGTCTTGTACTTTTCTGGCTTATCTCACGTGACTTCCCCTTTCTGTGTACTTCAGGCAAACTGAACTAGTAGTTGTTTGTGGCATTATTGAAAGCTTTCCTCCATGCCTGGAAGGCCCGACCTCTAAATCTTTTCTGGATGAAATTCTTCTCTGCTTTCAAGGCCCGGTTTGGATGTCATCTCTTCTGTGAAGCCTTCCCTCAATCTTGAAGTTGAAAGTGATCTCTCCCTCTTCAAATTTAAATCACCTTTTATGGATCTCTCCTTTGCTCCTACCCTTTTGTATTATTTTGTATTATTTCTCCACTCTGTGTCTCTGCTTTCTCTGTCTCTGTGTGCCTGTCTGTCTCCTTCTCTGTCTGTGTGCCTGTCTCTGTGTATGTCTCTCTTAGTTTTTCTCTTTCCCTCTCTATTTCTGTCTTTGTGTATGTGTGTCTCTGTCTTTGTCTCTGTCTTTCCCCCACACACCCACACCCTTCCTATCCATAATAAGACTGGAACCTCCCTTGAAAACAGTCTGAGTCATCTTTCATCTTTGAATAGCCATTGCCTGGGATGGTACCTTGAACAGAGTAGGCATGTGTAATAAATATTTGGTGAAGGAGTGGCTGAATGGGCAACAATACCTATAGGACTGGGAAGTTCCTCCATACAGCTACTAGTCCATCAGTCAACAAAAACATGATCCCTGACCTCAAGGAGCTCACATTCTAATGGGGAGGGAGAAACAATATGAAAACAAACATGTACATACAAGACGTATACAGAGTAGATGGAAGATAATTTCAGAGGGAAGTCACCGATGATAAGAAAGGGGGAGGTGACTACAAGTCTCTGCTGGTGAAATAGTTACTGTTTGAATTGAACAGAAGTCCTAGTTGAGGATATCTTGAGTACATTAACATCTCTTGGGAAGGGGGCTTCCTTTCGCTCTCCTATATTCCTGCCTACAGCTTTGCCAGAGCAACAGGTTTTTGTAGCTCAAACTCATTAAGGACAGGAGGGACAGCAGTTTTCCTTTCCCCACCCTGTCTTGGGAAAGAGAGGTGATAGCTTCTTAAATAAAAGAACCCATAGAAGAGAGAGAGAGAGAGAGAGAGAGAGAGAGAGAGAGAGAGAGAGAGAGAGAGAGAGAGAGAGAGAGAGAGAGAGAGAGAGAGAGGTCAAGGAGGGGGAGAGAGAGAGGGAAGGAAAGAGAGAGGGATGAGAGGGAAGGAGAGAGAGATAGAAAGAGAGACAGAGAGAAGAAGATGAGAAGAAGAAGAAGAAGAGGGAGGAGGAGGAGAAGAAGGAATGAAGGGAAAAGTGGGGGGCAGGAGAGTCAAAGATCAGTTACTGAAGCTTCACAGGTGGGGTCAGGAGAAGTTGAGAAGGGAGGGATGTAGCTATTCTCTCCCCAAAGTCCAAGATCCTGGAGCACCTGGGCTTCCACTTTTTTGGTTTCTAACACATCTATGAGCCTGAAGAAGAAACAGCAGAAACAGACATCCCCTTTTCCCAACTCCAATTCAAGTCAGGAGTCCTACACTCCCTGTCTTTCTAATTCAGCCTCAGTGGAGTTGGGGGAAGGGAGTCACTATTCAACTTTGAGGAGGTGGTTAAGTAAGGAGTAGATGGCTACTTTGCTATCTTGAAGAAAGCAGTGATCTGGAACCCGCCCCCCCATGGTATCAGGACCAGGTCCCCTTTCCTGGGGCCCCTCCCTATCATGCCTGGGCTGCTCTTTTCCTTCCTCCTCCCGCTCCTCTCCGTTCTAGGTCTTTTGAGGACAAGTTGGGTTCCTGACGAGGCAGTTCCCGCTGGGAGCTGGTGCAGGTCAGCTGGCCTGCACTGCGTCCCCTTCCCCTCGCCCTTTCCCTACCCAACGAGTTGGTATCTTTCACCCGGGGTTCTCTCAACAACAGCTTGGAATTCGTGCAACTTCAAGGGAGCTAGTCCCCAGGGTAGAGAGTAATAACCTAGAGAGGCGCATGGCTGTCCAGAGGTGGACAAAATCCACATGCAAGAAGACTAAACTAACTTTTTGAAGGTGCACATGTGAAGAGGTGTGCTCCCTACCCCATCCTGCTTCAGCACCCCAAGATAAATGGGCACACGGGCACCCCCCACTTGCAATTTCACCGGTTCCCCCAGTAGTGGGATGAAAACTCCAGCGAGGTAGTCTGGAGAACAATTCAACCGTGACAGTTAGTGTGGGGCTGGCAATCAATGTCCTTCAGGTCAGTCCCTGACTTTGGAGTGGGGATCCCTGTTCATTTTAGGATCTCTTGTCTGTAAGTCTCGGATTTTAGAGCTGGGAGTTCAGCAAGAGCATGTTTACACTCGGTAATGAGTAGGTAAGTACTGACACCCGGCGGGGAAGCCCTTCGCAGAGTCCAAGAGGGACAGGCACGAATCGCAGAGCGCCTAAACTGGTAAAGCCTTCTATTTCTGTGGGGGCGGGGTTTTTTCTTTTTTTTTCTATATGAGTGTGTGGCTAGGGAGAGGGGGTGGGGGTAGAGGCAGCTGGAAACATCTGTTAAGGAGCAGCAAACCACGAAGCCGGTCAAAGCTATCCCCTTTCTCCCCCGTCAGTTTTAGTAACTTGCTACCTAGGACATCATTCAAGGTGCGTGGTGTGTTTTTAAAAGGTATATCCCCCACTCTTGTCCCGTTTTCTTCATCAAGAAGTCAAGCAACATTAAAAAGAAAAAATCCATGACCTTAGTAGTATCTGAAGGGCGTATTAATTACATAACCAGTGAATAAGATTAAGGAAGAGACTGTCGTATTAAAGAGCTGATAACAATATCTGCAAGAGAAAGAGAGAGAGAAAGAGAGAGAGAGAGAGAGAGAGAGAGAGAGAGAGAGAGAGAGAGAGAGAGAGAGAGAGAGAGAGAGAGAGAGAGGAGAGAGAGAACTTGTAAATCTGCAATGAAGATGCGTAGGGTATGCCCCCGTTTAAAATATATATATATATGTATATATATATATGTATATATAATATATAAGCGAAATGCAACAGAAGAGCTTACCTTTCTGACACCACTAAAGCCGTGTTCTGCAGCAACTTGACGGGCTTCTTCCTCTCCCCCCGTGTGCAACTCAACCAAAAACTGATTAGTAAAGACAGGTCTCTCGGCAGATGCAAAAATCATAATACAGAGCAAGACCACAGCAGCCTTCCACTGGGGTGAAACACGTCCACCCTGCATCTTTCTTGGGGGTGTAAAAGTGCAAAGAGGTGGCTGATAGATAAGGTGGAGTGAGTGATGGTTAGGGTGGAGCAGATCTAAGAGGGTGGAAATTAAAAAAAATAGTTTAAAAGAAAAGACTTGGGGGTGGGGTGGGGTAGGAGAGGTTGATCCTAGGGAGCTTGGAAGGCAACAAAATCAGAGTGAATTTTCCTCCAAGATTTTGGATGTTGGGGAATGGGAAGCCGTGTAAGTCAGATGGTCCAGCTCCTTGGAGGGTATGTGAGTGTGTATCTGTGTGTATATGAGAGGGGGGAAGGAGAGCGAGTGTGGCTGTACTTGATGCTAAATCTGCATTTTCAGCTCCTCCTCATCTAGAATTCAACAGTGACCAGAGGAGAGCACCAGCCCCGTGACGCGACACCCGCCATAGACCAATCCCAGCGCAGAAAGGTGCAAGCCCTGCCCCACTCCTCCCTCTGGCTAGACTTTGGCCCGCCTCCCAGGGGTTGGGGGGTGGAGGAAGAGTTGGATTCAGAGCTGGCCCTCCCCCTCTGTTTCAGCACCCTGGAGAATTCCTCCATTTCTCAACCCCAGGAGCGGAGCAAAGCAAGGAAAATCCCCCTAACTGTAATCAGCTATCGGCATGATGTCATTGGTGGTGTAAATCAGAAACACCGGGAGAGGGAATTACGGTGCGTGTAGCTCTCACAGGAACCTGGAGGAGTGAGGGACTAGTCTCTTTCACCCCCTCCACCTTCCCTCCTCTACCCCAGCAAAGCAAAACAAAACAAAACAAATAAAAAACCCCTACCCTTTTTCCTTCTTTATAACGAGACCCAATGCAAACCAATTACTTCTTGCCTTGTAGTTGTCCCTGAACCCTATCCTGATACTTTCGGCAAATACCTTGGGATGAAGCTTCCTGCCTTTGCTATGATTGATAGATAAGGGGTTTGGCAAAAACCCGTACTTGTCATGGATTAAGGCACTCCTGCTTGGGTGAGGGGCTGGCTGGCGGCTTTCTCCCTGTCTACACAGAGCGAAGCTTTCTAGCAGAAACGGGGGATGCCTTGAGAGAAGCAGCAGAGAAGGACAGCAGGGGCGACAAGGAGGTTGTCAAGAGTCGGATTCCTTCCACTGCTCAACAATTTAGGTTACTAGACTTTCCGAGGAAAGCTGCTCTTGTGAGCAGCTACTTGGTCCAGACAGCATTGGTTAGCGAAACCTCATGCCACATGTTTACACAAAGACCTGGCTTCAGGAGCGGGACTGACAACAAGCCTTCTAGGCTGCCTACTCAGACCTCAGATTGGCCGGATTGACACGGATGCCCAGCTCAATGCCAACGATCAGCCAGACAACGCCACAATCTACCTTGGGTCTGGAAGAAGGCGAGGCACACTGGAGGTTTGTGGCAGAAGCAACTGCAAAAACGTTTTCCTATGGCTTTATGCTAATTCAGCCAAAGTGGCAAAAATAAACTAAGTCACTCAGTTACGGGAGAGTACACTCATATTAAATGTTCTAATTGCTTTCATGACTTCTTTCACCGAGTGTGGGAGGAAGTAGATACACAGTATTAGTGACTATGTGATCAGGGTTCTTTTAAACAACCCAAATTTTCATAGCTACAGACAATGTAGGGTAATTACTCTGTACAGTACTGGGTTGCCTTTACCAGCCTTTTTGGTTTGCAAAGTTCATGCCCAGTTCTAACTAGATAAGAGGCAAGAGATTTTTACTTAGAAGCCAAGGTGTTTGTAACTCAGCCAGGAAGGATTGTATATCAAGCAGTTATGCAACAAGCACAGGATTTTTTTCTCCCTTCCCTTTGGCACATTGAAAAGGGAATGTGGTTGTTTTTGATTTATGTAAAACAACAACAAACCAAGGAGATTTTTTTTTATCATATCCGTATGCAAAGAAAATGCTTTGGTATCAGGAGAAACAGATCTATGCTTATGTGCACTTTTCATGCTTCCTTAGAGCAAGTCTACCTATCTGCTAATAGGGCTCTTAGGTGATTTGCACAAGATTCCTTTCCAGAAAAGATTCTTAGACGATGTCCAATCCACAAATGACAGGTAGGTGTAATGAAAAGAGCATAAAGAAGGGCACCAGGTATCTGGGCTCTAGTGAAGTTTCTGTCAGTAAATCTCAATTTGACCTTTGGCAAGTCACTTCTCTTTTCTGAGCCTTTATTTTCCTCATCTACAAAACAAGAGGTTGGACTAGCTGATGTCTAAGTTCTCACCCACTACCATCTTATGATTCTATGAGCAGATTACCTTTAAGGTTCCTTCTAGGTCAAAGAACTTTGATTATAATTCCCAGAGCTTCTGACTTGTCAGAAAGACCTACCCCTTAGTTACTGGGCATGCCCAATTGTGCTAATTTAAATCTTTTTAAAGAGGTAAGAGGTCTGCATGAATAAATTAGCATGAGTTTTTCAGTGACTGAAGGTGAAAAGAACAAGGACAAGGTCACTGCAGAAATCCCCACCACCATGAATTGCAAGATTTCTCTGGGTTCTCTGTTTCAAGGTCAAATCTCTGTGAGAAATGTAGAAATTCTTTTAATTTCTGTTCCAGTTTGAGAACCATGATTCTATGATCACTCTCTTCACTTCTTATCCCCTAAAGCTCTTCTAAACAATGTCAAATTAGGGTATTCCTTCTGGAGGATTTAGTATCTTCTTTTGAGTCAGTAAATCACCCTTCAACACCAACACCACAGGTTTACTCTTTTTCTTCTCCCTTCCAGACCATACTTCCAAATGAGAGAACTACCTTGCATGCTGAGTGTAGTGTGCAAATGTAGAGATGCTTTGCACAGACACAGCCTTATGTGGATATTGGGAAAGATTATTACAAATGTATTAATTGTATTACAGTGACTCAAATATCATGGAGAGTGTTTAAAAAGCAGCAACTAAAAAATTACATCTTTAGAAAAAAACTTGAACAACATCAAACAAGCCAATTTAGAAGATTATGGATGTTAAAAGAATATTGTTGCTAATGTGAATACATCTCTCTGAAAATAAATATTACAGTATTTTCTTTCAAAGGTATTGTTAACTTTTCCTCAATCACATTGAAATATCTCTTTTTCAAAATAAATTCGAAAGCAAAAGTTAAGTGAGTTGATGACATAGGAATACTTGGTGATCAAAAGGCTCACACAGGAATGCTTAGCAGACACATGACATTCAAAACTAGAAGCAATGGGTGGAAGTGGAAAAGAAGTGAATTTAGGCTTAATATAAAGAAAAAGTAACTTAGTTAACAATCCTAGCTATCCCAAACTAGAAAAAGTTGCCTTGGAAGATAAGGAGTTCCCTCCTCACTTAAAGTTTTTAATCAAAAGCTGGATGATCACTTGCCAGGTATGTTATAGAGGGGATACTTTTTCAGTATAGATTGGACTAGATGGTCATTGAGTTCCCTGCCAGCTCTAAAATTTGTTTTTCTTTGAATGTTATATGCTAAATATTTACATTTAAAATAATTTATTTTAATAATAAGATTCTATTAAAAGAACATATTCAAATTTTTCTAGCTTACTGCAGCTTATATTCTGTAGGCATAGATTTTTAATTTTTTGAGCACCAAGGCTAGCCTTCATGTGACCACCAGACATCAAGGTAAGATTTTAGTGGATTTTAGTAAGATTTTCAGAAGTTAAGATTCTGACAAACTAGGCACAAACTGAATAAATCAAGAATGACTGCTATTGCACTATTTAACAGAACTAAGAATTAAACATTATATCACAATAACATTTCAAATAACTAGAGGAAAATCACTTTCAGATTCCAATACTGAAGTTCTAAAGCAAAACAGCTTGACAGGAAAATTGAGAAGAGACTGTTGGGTTATTAGTTTTTTTTAAAGCCCCTTATTCAACTAACATATGAAAATAATGCAGTTTATTCACTTCCTGTTTTTGTCGCTGGTGACCATGAAAGACATCCATCTTAATGGAGAACACTAGTTTGGTGTATCGAAGTGTCTCTTGGAGAGGAGATCAAAAGATTTGGGTTCCAGACTCTACCACTAAAATTTATGTAAAGTCGTGAAATAATTTAATCTCTATGACCTTTGATTTCTCAACCTGTAAAATGTGTGGAATAGATGATTTTGAAGGAACTTCCCACTTTTGAAATTTAAGAATTTTATAATTTAAGAAAAATATCAAAGAATATTGTGGTACAGTGGAGTTAGAGGACCTGAGTTCATTCCCTATTTGTGCTGCTCACTATCTATATAAACTTAAGACAAATCGCTTTGTCTCCCTGAGACTCAGTTTCTTTGTTTGTAAATGACATTGGATTAGATGACTTCTCAGGTGCCTTTCAGTTCTAATCCAATGATCCATTAGTAAATGTATTGTCATATGTAAAAACAACAAAAACTACTCTATTACCTGAGAAATGTACAAAATGAATTTCAATTCACCTCAATAGTAATGCATTATATGTCCATTATGAATGAACATGTCAGTGTCCTAGGTTCTATGGATATATAAAGATGGAAATGAAACAGCCATTGCCATCCGGGAGCTTAATTTCCACTAGGAGAGATACATGTCGAGAAAGTCAGAGCCAGATATGGAGAGCCTTAACCACAAGACTGAGGAATTTATTTTTCATCCTAATGGCAAAAGAGAGCAATTAACGTTCTTAGAACAGGGGAATATCACAGCCAAACTTCTGCTAGCCTATGTCACAATGGTAGCTCCTGATATAAAAACACATGTAATTGGTGAAGTAACTATTTCCACAATAACCTATGAGAAAATTAATAGTAACATCTATAAACTGTAACATTCCTAAACTACTATAAAATTGAAAGTAACATCTAGAAACATCTATAAAACTCTATTTCTAACTTAAAAACATAGAAGGTCAGAGTTGGAAATGGCCTTGGAAACTATCTAGTCCAATTCCCTCACTTATGAATGAAAAAAAAAGATGTGAGATCTTTTTTCTTGCCCAAAGTCATACCACTAGCAAATGAAAGAATTGGGACTTGAATCTAGGCCTTCTGATGCTCAGTCCAAGTTTCCCCCCTACTCTACCATGCTGCCTTTGATATACTGGAAAACAAGATCAGATCATCATAGACAAGAGGTGGAAATCATAGACTGAAAAATCATCTTTGAATTACATTTCTACTTCTTTATTACATATGTATATATGTTAAATATTACCCAATTATATGTAAAATTTTTAACATCATTTAAAAAATATTTCTAAATTCTCTTCCTTTTTCCCATCCCTCCCCCACCCCTTAAGAAGGCCAGCAATATGACATCAATTATGTATGTGAGGTCATACAAAACATGTTTCCATATTAGCCATATTGCAAAAG